TGTGAGAGGGTGCAGCTGTGGAAGATCCATGAGGACAACCCAGTAAAGGGGCATCATGTCCCTTCAGAGGGGAAGGCCAAGTGCAGCTGAGAGGCTGTGGACACAGGACTGCACAGAACAGACTTAGCCAAATCTGTGAGAGCAGGATATTTATCAATTGCTGATTGGCTGTGGCCAGTAATTTCCATTCTGTGGGAACGGGAACAGGGGTCTGTGTGGAGCAACCACAGCCTCGAGTTGAGGTAAATCACTCTGAGGTGTTAGTCATTCTTTCCAGTTTAATAACAGGACAAATTCGGACGTTAAAAGAAGCACTGGGAATAAACAACCCTTCACTAAGTAGGTTTCCTATACATTTTTCAATCCTTCAAGTCCTTGTGTAATTTACATTGGGCCATATTAACTACTTGATTTGTGGGGTAAGGTCCCAATTTGTCAAGCCAATTTGTAATTGGCAAAGACTCACTTAATTTTAATTCTGGATCACTGGATCACAGTAGGACAACAGGTTTTATGACCATGGAGAATTTAGGCAAGACCATAGTTCTGATGGCTAAAGATGAAACACTTGTTTGATTTGTCCTCTATATTGTTCATTAACACCCCTAAGATCATGAGGGACACCTTCCTTAAATTTAGTGGGATCCCAGGTAAAACTGTAGTTTGACACATAGTATTGATTAACTGCTTGAAGGTTTCTGAAATAGTGCATTATATCAGATAGGAAAACTAATTCAGACCCTATGTTTTACAGGTCAAAAAGCCAAGCAGTGTACCTTTACCTGTTTTGTTATGTAAATTCTTCAGTATATTTTGGATTTACAATGGGGCAAATTGCGGACCTTAGTTTCAGTATTTTATCTATTGTTTCCTTCCTCCTGATCTTTCCTGTTTATTTCCCCAAGTGATATAATCCAGGGGAGGGAGTGCCTCTCTACCCTGGTATTTATAAACTTTTTTTTAGCAAAGAGCCTCAACACAGTGCTATCAGGGTTAGGAGCCTCCTATGTGACAACTGCTTGCTTTATAGGGTTAATCCCTGGGCTTAAGTCAACTTTGAACAAATACCTTGTGCTACAGGGGTGCCATGGGTGTTGTCCTCTATAACCCTGAAGGTCAGGATCTTTGTGGCAGTAGAGGCAGCGGCAGCAGCAGAGGTACTGAAGGGGCCTGGGGAGCCCTCTGGTCTTAAGGAGTGTGGACTCAGCCTGCCACCTTCTGTCTGCCTTTCCCCTCATTTCTCCTTTTTCAAAATGAAACCTCTTTCAGGAGTGACCTTCTGATGGACTCACCTCTTGCAAAGGGTATAGTCCTGTCCACCCCCATCCATTTGGTATATAAAGCAAGGACAGCTTCTGTTTCATCTTCACTCTAACAGAGATAAATCTCAGCAAAGACACTCACCCAGGACCATTTAAGGAGGCCCCAATCCCACAGTCCTGCTCCCAAATGCCTATAAATTCTCAAAATTGCCCACTCTGGTCAGCTGATCCTAGAACTGATTCTTGGTAGGGTCAACAATGCCACAGGGAGCAGCACAGCTCCCAGCACGCGCTCCCCAGCAAGCAGCGGCCCACAGTGCATGCCACCACCAGGCAGCAGAGCAGGGGAGCAAGTCAGAGCAAGAGAAGACAGACCCACGGGTGGGGGTCATGTCTGGACATGCGGCTCAGGGCACCAACTGTTATGGTCCCTGCAGAGGGGTGGTTCCCTTGTTGAGTCACGCCAGGGTGGTACGCGCACACACACACACACACACACTGGGTAGGAAAAGGCTTAGGACTCACATAATAGAGGTCTGAGGGGAGGGCAGGGCCAGCCTCTCAAGCAGCTCTCACAGGGCTCAGAAAGCAAGGAATGGAGCCTGGCCTGGGGGTTCACTGGGCCTGGGGGTGGGGCCGGGGCAAGAGCTCTGCACACAGGCAGGGGCTGGTGTGGTGGGAATCTCCTGCCTGCTCTAGAGGAGAGAGCACCCAGGCTTCCTCCTCAGCTTGTCCAGGTTGGGGCACGAGGGGAAGAGGCTGGGTGAGGCTTAAGCTGTGAGCAGGCACCCAAAAATGTGGAGTCTGACTGCTCCTTACAAGGACAAAGTGGGTAACAAAAATATGCATTCTCGACTGACTTATATAAAGAAACACAAACAAGAGGCTGAAAAATGATCAAAACTGTGTATTAGGGGGTGACTTGAGTAACAGTGCCGGAGGGGACCAGGATGTGTTGGTAGTGAGTATTCTTAAGTTTAAATTTTCTGTCTTACAGATTTATTTCAAATAAAGAGAAATTTATGTTCTTTAATTTTAACTCTAGTACATGGGAAACCATTCTATGATTTACTTCCTCTAAACACAAATAGTTACAGAAATATAAACCACACAATATAAAATTCTCAAATCTCTTTCTAACTAAAAGCACATGCAGCATCCTAGTTTGTCCTTCCCCTATGTCTCACACTGGGGTATTTTCAGGAGTAAGCAGTGTATAATAATGCAATAGAGGTTTGAGTTTAGCCCCTTAAATGTATTGGATTTTTAAGGATTTACATAAAGCTCACATCAGTTAAAATAGAAATTCATTTGCTTTAGCATTTTTAATTTCTATGTTCTCTAAAGACATGCACATAGAAAAACCGGTCTAAAAATGAAAAACAGATTGTCTTCCTTTCCTCGCATCCTCTCTCTCAATCAACTTTCAGTTTCAGAGTCCAAATGTTAAGGGAAACTGGACCCAACTGTCTGCACTATTCCATTGATAAAGGAATCCAAAGGAAAGAAACACAAATACTGGAATCAGCTCAGATGAGCAGCCTGCTTCCCACAGGACAGAAGGAAAGCCACAGTCAGAAGGTCCCATGTTCCTGACTCTCCTGGTGGAGTCAGAGCCCTGGAGGGGGTCAGTTCCTGGAGAAGGAGGGGAGGGCACCTGAGCAGCCACAGGAAGGAGCTCTGGGAGCCCCACACACCCTCCTCTCCCCAGGGAACAGTGCACATGCTCCCTCTCTCAGGCTCCATTCTCACAGTGAGGAAACTCAGCTGGATCCAGTTTAAGGTTCTGACCCAAATGGACCCCCAGATTAATGGGCCCTAATCCAGGACACAGAGCTCCTGACTCTCACAGACTTTCTCAGTGTAAACAAATTACTCTCTGAGTGCACCTACACTGTGGATGCAAAACTCCAATTATGTCTAGAAACAGGCCCAAGGGAACCACAGTGACAACCTCAGAAAGGGCCTCACTCCCCACCCCATGAGCACGTGCACCCCCAGCTCTCCAGGGCTCTGCAGCTCCTCTCAGGATCAAGGCTCCTTCCATGGGGGTGTGAGCAGTAGGACACCTGCAGGGGGAGGCTCCCCAGGAAGGACAACTGGGCCTTCAAGGCCTTCCCTCTGCAGGCTCAAGGGGGCCTCAACTTAAATTGACTGCCCTCAGGCATCTGCCCAGACCAGGGGTTTTTTGGACCACCACTGATATTTTAAATACACAAATCTGGTGTTTGAACAATCCAGCTAAATCACTCAAACCAGTCTTTATGTGGAAATGAGGGAAAAACATTGTGTGGCACTTTGCTGCCTCAACAAGAAATCCCAGAAGAACGTATTGCTTTCTGGGGGAAAAAAAAAAGATGTTAATATAGTATTCTTATTCTTTCCATGACAGTAAATTTTTTTATAAACTATTAATCCTACTTGAACACTGCAGGTCTGCAAGTCTAAGCCCTGGAAATCCATTTGAACTCACCCAAAATAAAAGAACAGACCTCAGAATATTACTACCCACGATGGGAGGAAAATAAGGAGAGAAGAATTTAGCATGCATTGTAAAACTGGAATATTTTAATTTTTTCTGAAATGCACGTTTCTTGCCTCTTTGGAAATATTTTATATTGTGTTTCAATTTGTGTTGATTAAAAAAACTTTTATTCACTGAAAAATTGAGACTCAAATAAAGTGAATAAATCTTTTAAAGGTGACTAACTCAGGTAGGGACAGTGCTGACAGGACAGATCACCCAGGGAAGTATCTCAAGAGGAACCTGCGCCCAGAGGATTTCCCACAGGATGTCTGTGCCCAGAAAGATCCTGGGAGAGAGTCACAGAATTTCATACAAGGTAGTTCCAGGTAGTTATAGGCTGCTTTTCACTCATGAAAATATCCACACACACAAAGTAAATCTCTTAATAACAGTCATCCATTGATTGTGAGAAAATGATAAACAATTATCACATTGGGTCTGTTTCAAATCAAACACGGAGGACAAAGAGTTCACAATAATGCTGTGCATCCGAGGCAGGAAGTTGGCATTTCGGAATTCAGGGAGAGACTGGAAATTTAGGCATTTATTGCAAACCCTGGGAAGGGCCAGGCTGGGGAGGCAGGGTCATGGATTGAGACTCTGCTGCAAATATATGTGGAAAATTCAGAAAAAACACGTGTCCTCTAGGAAGAAAGGAAGGACTGAGGACCCACAGACCACAGGTCCTCCGCGCACGGACCCCGGAGACCGAGGCCCGACTGTCCTGCGGGCCCTCCCGCGGGCCCCGCACCGTCTGGGACACGCGGGGCTGCGGGCACACAGCGGCCCAGAGACGCTCCGGCCCAAGTCGCCGCGCGCAGGGACCACAGAACGCCCCGGGCCCGGCTGCCGGCCCCGCCCCCACGCTGCGGCCGGAGGGGCCTGAGAGCCGAGCGGCGCCACCGCGGACTCGGGGCCGCAGACCCCGGAGGGGACCGCGGGAGGCCGGGCCCGCCCCGCCGCTTCCCACCAGCCCCTGCTCCCGCGTCCTGCCCCCGGGGCTGAACTCTCACCATTTCTAGGGCTCCTGGGTCCCCCTGAGTCCTTCTTATGACCCCCACGCCCAGTGCAGGTCACAGCGGCTGCGGCAGAGCCACCAGGACCGTTAAGTGTGGGCAACAATGGACCACAAACATGGAAGGAGCTGGGAGGGAAGTCCATGTTGGGCCAGACACGCGTCCCTCACATGCTGCCTCTGCCCAGAACCTCACCATTTCTAGGTTTCCTGGGTCCCCCTGTGTCCTTCCTACAACTCCTGAGGTTGGTACAGGTCACAACTGGACAGAACAGGTGACAGAGCCACGTAGAGCCCTCAATGGCGGGGAGACGCGGTCCCCAGCGCGGCCGGAGCAGCACCTGCCGGGGGGTTAGGGGAGCTTCGCACCACCCACCTGCCCCGGCGCCGCCTCTGATTGGACAGTTCGCGAGACTCGCCCCCTTGTGTCTGAGTGACAGCCCCCTGCAGTTTAGGTGTGCAGGCAGAAAGTCAGCCAGAAGTCCTCCGTCCTCTGCAGGGACATTTGCATTGAAAGGTAGCGTTGGCAGGAGATTCTTTGCAACTGTGATCGTTCTTTATAAACACACACAACTGAAACTCACCTCACCCTATGCAATAATTAGTCTCACTTCATTTTGATCTTTGTTGACAACTGGAGTCTGACGTAGTTTTGCCAGATAGGCACACAGGCACAGATACTGTGACCAGGGAACTAGGCAAAGAAAGGGTACAGAGGATCTGATAGAAACTAACGATCTGTTGAGTGTTTACAGATGGAAAGTTACAGGAAGAGCCTAACCGCAGAAGGTTCCCACAAGCAAGCTGGCTGAAGCCGTTTCTAGCCGCCTCAAACTGCTCTTCAGTGAACTGAAGTGAACTGTCCCCATTGTAATCTCAATAAGGTTTTAAATTCTCCTCCTCTGGGAGGGAGCAAGCAGCCATTTCTAGATCATGTGACGTGTGTAGTAGCATGTGTACATCTACCCACGAGACTTAAATGACCATGACCACTAGGCAGTAAACCCTGATCTCTTGCCTTTTCCTTAACTGAATATTCATGAACTGTACTATGATCTCACAATTAAAGGACCCCTCAAACCCTTGTTTGGGGAGACACAGCTTTGGGAGAGACCCGCAGTGTTGTCCATTGCTTGTGCAAGTAATAAACCTTTCTTCACCTACTTCTGCCTTGGGTGTGCTTTTTGGTGCTACACTCACCAAGAGGTGAAGCCATTGAGTTCAGTTACAGCACCAGCGATGCATTAGGTGTGCATCCTTCCAACACTTCAGTCAGAGTCAGAATAAGAGTATTGTGAGCAAAAACAAGTCATTATTTCAGAAGAAAAGTGCCTTCTGCGTATTCAGAATGGTTAACTTTAGAAAATATTTGTATTCTGTGGGAAGTACAAACAGGGCCTCTTTATCATTGGTGGTTAAATTACTCTCTATGGTCTTGATCTGGCCCTTACTTGTGCTTACACTATTTAATCAATCATAATAAGACATTGGAAAACTGGGTTTCATCTAAACAATCAGCTCACTGATTCATGAGTCTATGATACTAGAGTGTCATTCATTTTGACAATGTTGGAATCACTCCGGGACAGGCATCCTCTCAAAATAGTATGCACAGATACAATCTCTGATCATTTCCTCTCAGAATTCCCTGAGGAAATGCTCACCTTTTATATCACCCACCCAAGTCCACCTGAACTTCAGCAATAACTCCACCAGACCCAGGGACAGAAGTCCCTGGAGGCTATCTGACAGATGGAAACTGAGGGGCAGAGCCAAAGAACCATGAGGGATCTCAATGAAAAGAAGGTTGCAGTTTGCAACAAGATCTCATCAAACAAGGGGGAACACTGCTGGGCAGTAGCATCATCCAATGTAGGAAGAAAAGTTCGTGGATATTCAGCAGCAAGCCTTGAGAGGTAGAGAAGATATTTCCATTTCATTATCTGTTTTTCATTTATCCATTAAGCTCTCTGAAAAATAATAGTCCAGAAGCAGGTTTCCTGGAAATCACTCGAATTTCCTAAGTCAGGAATGCCTCTGGTTTTTTCGTTTTATCTCCTAACTCCTCATCTCCACATCAAATAAAGGGCACACTATACTAAGAATGTGCATTCACTGGGCAAGATGCATGAGTATGGCTCCACTCCCACACATTGTGAGAAGCACGGTGCTGAGGAAACTACATTTCAGCACTACCCTTCCCCATCCTACCTTCATTTGCACCTGTGGGAATTGTACAGTTCCAGTAGTGGCGCCATCTGGGCAGAATCTGGGGATGTACTTCCCACACTGATGAATTGATTAATTGTTCTGCTTCTCACAGGTAGCATTAGGGACAGTCTGGCTCTTTCCTGAGGTCACTTCATGGTGCTCTCAAAGGCCCTTTAATCACTTTGGTCAGCACAATAGACAAGATGTCTTAAGGTTGTCTTTGGTAAGAGCAGATGGATTTTGTTGATCTCCATCATGGCAAACATGAGGGCCAGGATACACTTAGAGTGCTGGTGCATCCACCTGCACTGAGGGACGCCCATGAGAACTCAAGACTATCCTACAAGGTGGTCTTCTAAGCCAAACAAAGGGCTCCACTTAAGCAGCACAGGGAGTTGTTTGTAGGTATGGAGAGAGACATTCTCCCTAAGACTTTGAAAAATGGCCCTAATAGAAGAGTTACCCAACATACATGAAGCAGCTCTCTTGGAGGAGGTCATTGAGAGGACATGACCACTGGGTGACCCTCCAGCTGGACTCCAGTAATCAGAGGCTCCTTACCCACTCCCTGTTCTGGGAATATACATCCTACTCATTGTTCCCAAAGTAAGAGCCATTTGAAGGATGCAGTTTGGAGAGAATAATGTGTTATTGAGACCATTTGTACTGTAGACATTACTGAACCCCATTACAGCCTCTATAAATTTTTAAGATTCTGGCTGGCAGGTGTGGAGTTTTACTCATCTTGTACCACCTAAGACAAGCCTCATATATAAGTTCCCCTTCTTATTAAAACTGCCACCAATGAACCTGGAGTGATCTGCCTCATTCTTTGGTCTTTCCTTGCCCTCCAGGTACATGAGCCAGTTTCAGATGGCACCTGGAGAACTCTTGAGGTTGGGAACCAACATGCTCTTAGATCTGAATGAAGATAAGAGAGCAACTGATCCTTCTTGTGCTGGGAAGCATGAAATACTTCTAAATGGCACAACATCAGGACATGTGTTTGCACTTTTAAAACTATTTTTTTCTTCATGGTCTGATCAAAATATGACATGATGTTTGAGGTAGTAGTGGGAAGAAGGATAAACCAAATTGTTCTATCTAGTGGGGAAACCATGATTTACCAAAAACTAATTATCACAGCATTTATTTAGTGAAGATTTCAATGCATTGGGAAAGTAAACACCCATAGAAGAACTCAAAAGAGTCACCACAGGACTTTATTAAAAGTATTAGTTCTCAGTAGGCTTACAGGCCAGTTGCAACCTTACATGTCAAGGAACCATTGGGTCATCTGCAGTGTAAAATGTTGTAGATTCCGCTTTCTACGTCGTTATAAAGCTGATGATGACAATGACAGTGAGATAGTAACAGGAACACTGACACTAATAATAAAGGCACTTTGGGGAGGCTTACTGAGTGTGAGACTCTGCACTCAGCACCTTAGGGGGACTGGCTCATTCCTTTTCATCTGCACAGACTTCTAACAGGGAAGCACTAGCATGATCCTATTTGATAAGAGAGGAAACTGAGACTTAGGGGAGCTGAGTGACTTGTGTGACTTTACACAGGCAGTCAGGAGGGCGCTTGGATTCATCACCAGGCTGCATGACACAGAAAAGCTTTGCCACTGAGCACACGTTACTTTTTATTATGAAATTAGGAATAATTGTTCATTAACTAGGACAGACCTTTAGTGAGAATCAGAAACAACTTTGACCTTCCCCATAGGCCTTAGTAAAATCCCCGCTATGGACTTCATCAGACTAAAGAGCTTCTACAAGGCAAGGGAAAACAGGATTGAAATGAAAAGACAACCCACCAACTGAGAAAAATATTTGCAAATCATTTATCTGACAAAGGGTTAATCTCCATAATATATAAAGAATTCACATAACAACAAAAAATCAAACAACCTGATCAAAAGATGGGAGGGGGAGGGCAGCCTGGTGACACAGTGGTTAAGTTCTCACGTTCTGCTTTGGTGGCCCAGGGTTTGCCAGTTCGGATCCCAGGTGTAGACCTATGCACCTCTTGTCAGGCCATGCTGTGGCAGGCCTCCCACATAAAATAGAAGATGGGCACCGATGTTAGCTCAGGGCCAGTGTTCCTCAGCAAAAAGGGGAGAATGGGTGGCAGATATTAGCTCAGGGCTAATCTTCCTGAAAAAAAAAAGGGCAGGGGATACAAACAGACATTTCTCCAAAGAAGGTATACAGATGGCCAATAGGCACATGAAAAGATGCTCATCATCATTGATCATCAGGGAAATGCAAATCAAAACTACACTAAGATATCACCTTACACCTATTAGAAGGGCTATAATAATGAAGACAAAAACTAACAAATGTCAGAGAGGTTGTGGAGAAAAAGGAACCCTCATACACTGCTGGTGGGAATGCAAACTGGCAGCCACTATGGAAAACAGTACGGAGATTTCTCAAAAAGTTAAAAATTGAACTACCATACAATCCAGCCATCCCACTACTGGGTATCTATCCAAAGAGCTTGAAATCAGCAATTCAAAGAGACTCATGCACCCTTAGATCCACTGTAGCATTATTCACAGTAGCCAAGACATGGAAGCAACCTAAGGTCTAATCGACTGATGACTGGATAAAGAAGATATGGTATATATACAAAATGGAATACTACTCAGCCATAAAAATGGATAAAATCGTCCCATTCACAACAACATGGATGGACCTTGAGGGTACTATGTTAAGCAAAATAAGCCAAATAGAGAAAGACAAACTCTGTATGATTTCACTCATATGTGGAAAATAAACAAACAAGTGGACAGAGCAGACTAGTGGTTACCAGGGGTAAGGGGAGCAGTGGGCACCTAGGGTGCAGTGATGCACCTATAATATGACTGACAATAATGTACAACCGAAATTTCACAATGCTGTAAACTATCATAACTTCAATAAAAAAACTTCAAAAAATCCCTACTATGTAATAGATCGCCCTTGCCCTTGGGTGAAATCTGAAGAGGGTGCCACAGTAATTTTAGTCTTTTTGGTGCTAAAATCCCATGGTCATGCTCGGCACAATGACTGCCAGGCCAGCCTAGTACTCACAGAAGATGTTTGGGAGCAGAGCATGGAGAGGAACCGCTGTGTGAGAGGCAGCCCATCGAAAGGAGGAGCCAAT